GTCTTATAGCTACCAGAAGGAACCTCGGCCCTAGCCCAGCAGTTGAAACCCCTAGCACCCGTTTTCCTGTAATTCCAAGAATTACACAGAAAAGGGTTTTCGTCTAAAAACTGGGAGCTAATCCTTAACCCTGTAAAGGATCCTTGACAAATTACCTTACAGGTCTCTTTACCTTGGATATCTGCTTTAGAAGTTTCCAACTCTGGTGATACCAGTCCTCCTCTCGAATAGTAATATTTAAAAACGACTGCTAACCTTTTTTTTTTATTTTTTACTGATAGCTTGCCATGTACTTGGCAGTATACTACGTACTCTGTCTATATTCATTCACTTAATCCTCCCACCATTATAATCCCCATTCTACAGCTGAAGAATGGAAACAGAAATGAAATAAGTTGCCAAAGGTTTCCCATCGCTGGTCCGTGGCAGAGCCAGGATTCCAGCCCCGTCTGTTAGGCTTTAGAGCTTTGGGAGCCCTTATTCTCCATGCCATATTGTGTCTCAGTGTCTAATACCGTTCTGTTAACCAGAATTAATTGAGTACTGTGTGCCTCACATTGGTAAGTACTGGAGATAGAGAAATAAACTGTGGCTGCCCTCAAGACCTCATGGGGAAGCAAGATGACTACTACCATTTATTCAGAACTAGCTAAATACAAGGCTGTGTTCCAGTGGTTTTACATAAATCACCAAGTCTGAAATGTACCTGTTTCTAAATCTAGTTAAAATTTCTATATTTCTTCAAAACTGAGCCATTTCAATCATTTACATGCGTTCATCCAGAATATTTCAGTTAATCCTTTCTGTTCTTTTCCTGCTCACAGTTTGTTGTTAAATGTTTTACTTCTGTGATAATTCGTAGACCATCACTCAGGTCTGATGGTTCCTCCAGTTATGTTTTAACTAGTAATAAGCCACCCAACTGCTGGTGAGATGCTCAGCCTGTAACTCTCTGTCTAGTTGTGACGCAGGAAGAAGGACTCTGATCTGAGCAGGGAGATTTGGTTCTAGTTCTGGGCTCTAGTAGGAATTTACTGCGCCCTTGGGTCGAACCCTTAATCTTGCTGTGTTTCTCATGTGTTGTGTTTACAAAAAAGAAGGGTAGAGTGGATGGTTTCTAAAGCCCCTTCCAGATTGATCACTGGTGTTGTTAAAGCCATCTCATACCCTCACTGCTCCCATAACCTGAGTTTAGCCCCACCACTACCTCTATAGCTATCATCCAAAGGAATAGGTGTTGCTTGTGCTTTGGGAGAGGAGGAGTTCACAGGATCTTGAAATTATCCTAATAACTACAGCATATTGAAAACCTGCAAGACAGCAGGAAACT